AGCCAAGTGAATTCAGTAAAACTAATGCGATCAGCATCAAATGACTAAGACCTACAGAGCTATTGGTTTTGTGAATTTATTTACCTCTACACGCTGTTATACCTGAAGAGTGAATGCTGAATTTCATGGAGTAACATCAACAGATGATGAAAATGAGGACGCTATAAAGTTATACTAGCCATACGCACACAGGCATACGTTCACTTTCGGGATACAAAGAATAGTAGGCAGAGCATCAGGGAGGTGCCTGTACCCGTGATCCATTCTCACAAAGATCTTGAGGTGACAGTGAGTCATGATCTTAAGGAGACGGCCCACTGCAGGGAGGTAGCAGTGAAAACTAAGTTTGAGAACTGCGTTCAGGCTGCAAGCCCCTGTTTAAAAGGTGACTCGGATATCCTGGAAGGGAAGGTACCCCTGAAAGTCCATAACTCTGGGGTTTACCATACAAAGAGTGGCTTGAAAATCTAAAAATCTTTACTCTGTCCTATCGCAGATTAAGAGGTGATCTGATTTTGATTTAAAGAATGCTAATAAAAGACTTTGGACCTAATACACTTTCTATTTTTCTCACCACTAGATCGATACATCTGAGAGGACATAGCGGGCGGGTAGAAAAGCCAACGAACAAAATACCCGCGGCATACAGGTTTTCACACTGAGTCATTAATTCTTGGAACCTGTTATCCGAAGTAATGGTGTCTGTACCTCCAATTTACTTACTCAAGAAAAGACTGGACACTCATAGAAGCATACTAGAAAAGGAATAACATAGGCCGTAGGCCTTCTGTTCTTACTACGTAAACATGAATTTGACCTCATCCACTTCAAATACAGAATGCCCGCCATGGCTTAAATTTTCTAAAGTTGTTGGGAAGTAGACGGTGAGTTTTGAGAAGACTTCATCCTTATAATGTTATGGTAAATTCATATCGTTCCCTTTCAATTTACAGTTAAAGCGGTTTTCAGAAATCTGTCTACATTTAGATTAAGATTTGTGTAGTAAAGACAGAAGGCCTACGGCCTATGTTATTCCTTTTCTAGTATGCTCCTGTGAGTGTCCAGTCTTCTCTTGAAAGAGTCAATTGAAGGTGCGGACACCACTGCTTCAGGCAGCAGGTTCCAAGTATTGATGACTCGGTGTGAAAACCTGTATGCCACGGGTATTTTGTTCGTTCTTGGCTTTTCTACTCGCCTGCTATGTCCTCTGAGGTGTCCCGATCTAGTGGGAAGAAAGAGAGAGAATAAGTTAGGTCCGAAATCATTTCTCAGTATTCTGTACATCAATATTAGATCTCCCCTTAGTCTGCGATAGGACAGAGTAAAGAGGTTCAGTTTTTCAAGCCGCTCTTTGTATGATAAACCCCGAGTTCCGGAATTGCACGCGTAGCTGCCCTCTGTACTTTTTCTAGTATGTCCGAGTCACCTTTTAAACAGGGGCTTGCAGCCTGAACACAGTTCTCTAACTTAGTTCTCACTAAGGATGTGTATAATGTGGTGAACATGGTAGTATCAAGCTTAGTGAATGTCCTTTTTAAAGCCCAGAGGGTTCGAAACCCCTTAACTGCGACCTCCCGGCAATGGGCCGTCGTCTTAAGATCATTGCTCACTGTCACCCCTAGGTCCTTATGAGACCGGACTACGGGTAATGACACATCCCCTATGTTGTACGTATTAACCTTTGAATCCCCCAAGTGCATGTAGACACACTTTTCCGAGTTGATAGGCATTAGCCACTCTTTAGACCAGTTTATCATATTATTTAAGTCCGCCTGAAGAGTAAATGCGTCTTTGTCTCCAGTTATTACTCGCCAAATTTTTACATCGTCAGCGTATAATAACATTGGAGACTGTACTATACTTGTAAGATCATTAACGTACATTATAAAAAGTAAAGGACCTAAGACGGAACCTTGGGGTACTCCACTAAGTACTGGTCTCCAGATGGAGCACTTGGAATTTATTCTTACTTTTTGCCTACGACCTACTAGGAAATCCTTAATCCATTTTAAAAGAGGTCCGGCAATACCAAGGTTTTCCAACTTCAATAGCAGTCTATTAGTTGGCACCTTGTCAAAAGCCTTACTGAAGTCTATGTAGACAACATCCACTGAGTTTCCGTTGTCTAGCGCATTAATCCAGAGCTCCCTAGCTATAAGGAGGTTCGTTGTACAGGATAGACCCTTTCTAAAACCATGTTGTGCCATGTTCAGCAAGTTATTGGTTTCCATAAATGCTGTTATGGTCCGTTTGATTATTCTTTCCAGTATTTTAATTACAACACTGGTGAGGCTTACGGGTCTGTAATTTGATGGAACTTGTCGTAGACCTGTTTTATGTATGGGAGTGACGATTGCGTCCTTCCAGTCCATAGGTAACACACCTTGGTCAAGTGACATTTTGAATATCACAGTCAGTGGGGCTGCGATATATTGGGCAATATGTCTCAAGATTTTAGGGTGTAGTTCATCTGGTCCTGTTGACTTCTCCATGTTTAGGGTGCTAAGAGCCTTAAGCACATCGTTTTGGTCGAAGTCCACGGTGAGCAGCTGGTTTGTTGACTCTGTATTTGGGTCTGGTTCTTTCTCTAGAGGAGGTTCCTGAGTGAAAACTGCCCCAAAGTATTCAGCCATAGCCTCTGCTTTTTCCTGATCTTCCTCTATCATTTCAGATTCACTTCCTACTTTAATTAGGTTATGAATCCAATGATGAATCGTTTTGCTCCGAACTTTTACAATCTGAAAACCCTTAAGAACGAGGTTTCTTTCACCGTTTCGGCGACGCTCGTTTATTTCTGCAGCTCTTCTCTTAATACGATCAGCTAGGCTGAGATCCTCACGGACATATATTCCGGATCCAATCAGTTTACGTGAATTACTTAGAATCAGGTTCCTTTCTTCCACCATGTTGAATGTAACCTTTAGGAGACGGTTTTTCTGAGGACTTTCGGAATCCACCTTTTTTCCTATTCTATAAAGCTTACAAATACTAACTCCTGAAACTGTATCTGGGAGTGGATTACTTAATGATGTCTTAATATGATTGAGATCATGTCCAAATCTTGCCTTTGGTTCAGTATCTGAAGATTCTCTTATCTTATGAAAAATGACTGATCTATCAGAGAGATCTGTCTTTTCACGCGGTGAGGATTTTTCTTCTGGTAACATCCCTTCCAATGTTTTGCTGACCAGCTGCGTTTTGCCTACAGCCTTTTTCTTCTTATTTTTTTCTTCCTACCGAAGTCCATTTGTCGCCACTCAGAACAGCCACACCTGGACTATGTGGAACGGTGACATTTTTATCCGGATCTTCTATTTCGACTAGAGGTGTATGACTGCCGATGTCAATATCAAGCGACACGTCATTCCTCGTTAATGTCAACGGAGATTTCACGTTCCCGTCAACCGCAGTCAGGTGTTTAACGGGTCCAGTAGCAGCACTTACTACATTGACACATTCTTCATCGTCAGTGCTCCTGTTATCAGTGCTTCCGCCATCGTTTTTCTTGCAGGCCAAAGCCAATAGGCCCATTGCCTCCTGTATTAGTACCTTTTTATCCGTACAGAAGAACGTACAAAGCCAATGCGAGTTAGGCTTCGAGCATCTCTTGTAAGCCGTCGGACTTAGTCGTGTACACATTTTGTGGTACCACTTTTTACAATCGTCACATTGCATTCCTTCCTCAACGGGGAACAAAAAATTTGGTTGCCCACATTTGTGAGTCTTACCAACCATTGTAATTCGATTTAAAAGGCTTAAAAACACAAAATGATCACAATGTGAACACAAGTGTTAGTCAAGAAGTAAAAAAAGGTACTCAGGACAAAATTTAGCAAAAAATTTCAAACTTTAACCAAGGTACTTTTAGATAAAGTAGACCGAGAATGCTTTTTAGTTCAATAAGTACCCAAAGCAAGTATAATCACGACAAGTGCAAAAATCACTGCCCTTTTTGAAACGAGCGCGGTAGCGGAGATTACTATAGCAATATCTTTGTAATTCTATTCTTAAGCTAACCTTTGACTGTGTCTGACTAACCAGAAAGTAGCTGAAAATTTATATCAGTTTGTTTTCTACTCACCTTTATACCATCGTTTTGCCTAGAAATTTAAATGCGTGCAAACCGAAGACTGGTTTTTGTCCATAGTTTTGACTAATCTAACGGCTCTTAGTGAGTTATGTAGCTACAATGAACCTGAAATGCTGAGAGCATGTCACTCACCTGCATCACGTAAGTTTTTTGTGATGGCTCCCGAGCATGTCAGAACACTTTAGCTAAACAACAAATGAAGTCACTCTATATGCGTTTCAACCGAGTGCCTGGTTCCGTATTTTGTACACTGTTTCTATGACAATACTTTTGTTTTTTTTAAGCGGTGCCTAAATTTGTCGAAGTTTCTGAAAACTTCAGTCCCCGATGCGGTTCATTCAAACACTGTACGTTACGTAGAACTGTCGACGAATTTCCCCCAAATACACGACGTAAGGGGGAAAAAGCGACATTTCCCCTTTTCTTCCCCTTTCGTCCGCTTTATTTCCCTTTCTTCCCTCTTCTTGTGTTGCTTGGGATAGGTACACCTATGATTCGTGAGAGAATATATTTTCTCGCGCCATCATGAATTTCCTTAAGAATTCTGTTGCTGCTTAGTATTTGTTAATTACGTCCAGTCTCTTCAAGTTAGTGCAATACTCCAGGACCAACCGAAGCTATACACATTATCTAATTGGACTGATTTGGGTATTTCCCATATTTTGTGCTGCATTTCTCTTGAAGTTTTCAATAAAACTGCTTGAATTCGGGATTTAAATAAAGCAAAGTTTCAAACCACAACATTGAATTAAGATATAGGCAGTTTGTGCGGCATAATTTAGGTCTGATCGAATTGCATTACCATTTCTAATAATTAACAAATCACATTGACTTAATAAGTTTTCTATACTGCACCAGATTACATTCGTAAAAGTGCAGACTGCATTTGATTTATTTATTGGCTGATTTGATGAATCGATGTGAGGATCTTAAGGAACGTGTTCACGTTTTGCAGCAAGAGCTTGAAAAGAAACGTTTGCTTCTTCAGGTATTCATGAATCCTTGATTGGTAAATATTTTTACAGAGAGCTGAGAAGAAATTAAAGTCTACTTTAATCACCCAGCCGAGTATTTTGTTGCCTGTAGCAGAAGAAACATCTGAAATAATTTCGGAAGGTTCTGGTAAATATTTAATTATTTAACTTTATCACAGTAGAAATTACTAGTGTGAAACTATTCGAATTAAGTGAATCACCAGTGCAAAGTGTACTTATTCAACCTACCAGTGAAGAGTGTTGCAGACACATAACTCTATGTGTTTTAGGATCCTGTATTCTTTTATCGAATTCTCTGTTAATTACTTTGTATGACTCTAATCATATGCTCACTTTGTATAGTGTATCACTTTGTAACTATGAATCACGGTTATTGTGGGAAAGAAAGCTGTTTGTCTCCGAAGTGACACTGTTGGAAATTATTATACCTCCAGGTAGCTCCGGTAAAGAAACTGTTCATATAGGCGTCTTATTGGCTGAAAAACATTCACCAAAAAGCTTACCAGTCCTATTGCTATCATTATTCATGTTTTCTATCCCAATTGTTATCAGTTTTACAGCCGATAATCATTTAACTCACCTATGCCTTACGGATGTACAAACAGTCCCAGTGATAAATACGAATTTCAATATAGATCGTACGTGTTCTTCGGGAATTGTGTACGAATTTTATGTCAATCGTAAAAGTGATCTAATGTTTGTGTTATATGTTCCTGATATGCTTTCATACACCATTCACCAGTTATCATATGATGGGAAATTATGTTTAGTTCCTCTGTTGTGTCGCTGTGACTCAATGGATGCACCTAAGCCAAATTTCAACTCTTGGTTTACTGCATTAAGTCATTGTTCAGGAAAACCTACATCATTATCACAGTCGGTTTGTATTCTAGGCATTCATTTCAATCCATCATCAGCCGAACTTGTTGGTTGTCTCATGCGCACAAACGACAGTGGGAAACACATTGTGGGTGAATACGTGTCAGAACAGTTTACGTTCAGTAAATTGGTACAGAATATCTACTTAAATGCTCCAGTGAAACCATGTTCTAAACTTTTAGTTGTTGCAAGTGAACGGCCTAATTTTTTGGTGTTTTCCGTTGTTGTAAAAAGCTGTTTATTAAATTCATGTACATATTACTTTACTATGGGTGTTGTTTCAATGAATGGTAAACCTCGTGGATCTGTTGTACGATTAATTCCTATTCATGTCGATCAGCAAGATGTGTATGAATCAGAATTAGCTTGGAGCTTATTTACTCCACAAAACAGACCGTATAGTCAGTGTTTGCTAAGATTCGTCGCATCATGTGCTGAACAAAGAAATTTAACTATCAGTGCATGGTCTGTTAATAAATTAATAACCGACTGTTGTGAGAAAACTTCCAGCAATGAAGTTGTCAAGGTCTCTTGTTTTAACTTATCTGAAGTAAATAAGACACTCAACTTACTTATTTTGTATCATTCAGATTGTATTTTCCCAAAGCAGATTTGTACATTGTACTATAGTCGTAATCTGAATAAAATTGTGCGACTGCACAGTTCATAACACATCGTTCATTGTTGATACTTTCTAGTCATCTTTGTTAAGTTTTAATTGTTTTAAGTACAATCGTAATGTTTATTTACATTGAGTGTGTTGCTACATACGAAACTTAGATTTTCTAAAAACCATCTGTACTGTTGTTTTATTTGGACCTTTTTTAGTAATCGTCAACCAGATTCTGTATCTTATCTTTCCGTAATCTTATCCAATTATATTTCTTCAACGTTAAGGAATCTTACTAGCTGAGCATCAGTAAAATTATGTATGTCTTAAAACTCCAAATGATATGTATTCAGTCAGTGCTAGGTCTAGGAATAACTTTTTTTAAGTTTACAAACCTCAAATAGCTAATTGTTGGATGATAGTAAATGATATTGTTTTAGGTTCATTATCAGTCTTATGGATTGCTCTGTGGTTGTCACACTAGGATTTTCATCCTCGTTTGTAGATCGGAATGATCGTTGGTCACAATCAGTTGGGAAAAATTATATCCCGGTTCCCATTCTCTAACTTGTCAGTCAATCTAACTGCTGAAGATAGACCTCATAAAACAATTAGTCAGCTGTTATATTTCACTTCGAGTCGTTGCCTTCTCGATTTCTGTGAGATCGATAGTGCTCTACTGTTCAGGCTGTTAGTGAGTACTGGGTAGTTAGACTGTAGCTTGATGGCAGTTAAACTGTTGCAGTGTTTTTTGCTCATAATTCTGGTTGCTCGATTTGAAAGTAGTCCATCTCTCCGAGAGATAATTTCGCTAACAATCGACTTTTTATCCCTTATCTTCCTGAACAATTGCTTCATGTTACCTATCACCACTACTGTTCCCATTATTTTGTTTTTGTTACCCACCACCTCTCGATTACCACGTAGTTTTTGTTCGTTTCTATTTCAATCTTCTTTGCTCCCTCATTGGTAATGGACCCACTGATACGTTCCTAAGCATATACTAGTCTGGTAGAACCTCCAAAGTTCGATTGGTCTTCCCTGACCTTTTGCTACTGTTTTACTTTCGTCAACATGCGTCACTTGTAGTGAAGGCTGAATATCCGTTTACCAACCAAAAGACGAGTATACAGTTAATCACTTCTGTTTTACTTTGTTATGTCCATGAGATGACTTTGAAACATTGTTCGTATATTTTAGGAGCACCGAGTGGACAATGTTTATGCTAATCGCAAGGTGCTAAGCAAGGATAGAATGCCACTTGATGAAGTAGTGAATCTTCACCAACTGAGGTAGTTAGGACATATAATATGTATGCCAAATCGCCGTCTACCTAAACACTGGGTTATCTCCGTTGAGTGTAGTTATACACGAACTCTTGTAGAAATGTATTCAAATTTACTGAGGGTTGAAAAAATTTAGTTCCTTAGCTTGATGTAATTTTAGGCAATTCGACTATTGGAACTGAATAACCAGTTAAATGACGAACACGTACAAATTCGATTCACAGGTTTTTGATATTTGAAGCATTTTGTTGATGTGGAGACAAGTCCAGATGACGGTTTAACTCTAAGATTGATATTGGAGTTGAGTGTGTAGATAATTAAACGGACATGGGTTGATTGTTTAGTTACAAAACATTTATATTACTGAGGACATTTGGAAGGTTTGGAGACATTTAAGGCAAGACAGGCATATTTATCCTTCAGATTAAAGTTTAACTCCCATCTTCAGCGTGACACTATCAACAAACAACTCGTTTACAGCAATTGCCTAGATGGTTAAGTAGAAGTACAATAATTTAGTATTTTGGGTATGCTGTTCTGTATATACGTATATATCAGTTGGTTTTCCAAACAAGAAGCACTTCATGTATACTGATGTTTGTGGAAAGTTACATCATCTGGCTGTTGATTAAAAGTTGTATACAATAAGGCTTTTCGAAAATCTGCAAACATTCTGTGGATCCCCTACTACCAATTCGAAATTCATTCGTATGGGTATTCAAAGGAAACAAGTAGAATTTTGAGTGACAAGAAAGATCGGGGTTTATTGGTATGTGTATACACATTCATCGTAGCATGACATTCAACTTATGTATCTTACCACATGTCCAGACAATAAATGGAGTCAGGAAAACGTACTCTGCGAACATGAGGATGTAAACAGACAGATTAGTTTGTTCTTACTGTTACAAATAATACCCAATGAAAAAAAAATTAAGTGGGCTTGACGTAATGTACTCGCACTATTCACATGCCTGAACGGAAGGGGACTTTTAAATCACTTTACTTCCCGAAGTTAGGACATATGGTTTTTGAGACAAACTCTGAAGGACCATAAGGTAGTTGTTGTACGGTGAGGAATGGTTGATGAACATTCCATTCAGTCGAAACCATTTAGAAGGCTCAGTAATATGTACAAGTTGAGTGATACTGTGTAGATGTTTCAAGTCTAAAACGAGATTGGACCTGGTCTTTAGAACTATTTTCAGAATGATACCATTGATGCACATGAAAACAAAATTTAATTTGTACAAGGAATGCCCCACTGGAATGATATGAAGAAACATTCACAAGTATCTGAAAATACAGCATTAAAATCGCCGATGTATTTGCCTCGGGATTCCTTCCCACTGGAATGGTGGGAATTATCCAGTGAGTGAAGTTGATGTTTATTTCAACAGACAGTTGGAAAGTTCATTTTTGCTTTACATTTCAATGAAAACTGCTTTGTTGATATACCAGACCATAGATTATAAATGACTCCAGTATCTTCGAATTATATCAGATAAACGGATTAATGTCTGACTACCACCAAGAGAACCCAGTTTTCTCAACCAACCAAAATTTGTTTGGATCATAACCGTAGCCAACTGCCTTACGTAAACTAATAGTTCACCCAACATATTCGTTTTTATGGATAAGATTGTAGTTTTCAAGACGTCAGATATCACCTGGTGTAAATGTAGTGACACAGTATATTGACGAAGATATCATGAGAAGAAAGTGTCAACAAACCTTTATCCATTTCATAGATACTCATTATTCCAAACAGTTACCAATCACTTGGGCCAAATAAAAATCAAAATATAAACTGTACGTGTTAACAGCAAAACATTCGAAGAGGTCCATGCACCGAAACAAGTACAAACATCTTGTTTTGAAAAGACTTTTTTCCTATAAAATTTCTTTGATTAGCACAGCATTGCTGACCTGGTTATTTAACATTACCAACAACTTATGAATAATGAAGCTAAGTAGATATGGTTTTCTTCCTGATAGCTTACAGCCCAAGAATTCATTATTATTCATATTCCATCTGTAACTAAACCACATGAGTAGCATTTGAGTGCACTGAAAGTGCGATTGATGGCATTAAAAGTTGAAGTGCATTGAGAAAATAGGTATTATATTGCTACCATCATCAATAATATTATTCGGTTTCCTGCATGTGTGTTGTTATGTACTCTGATGAGTCATTCGTCACCAGAGTACATAACAACACACATGCAGGAAACCGAATAATATTATTGATGATGGTAGCAATATAATACCTATTTTCTCAATGCACTTCAAATTTTAATGCCATCAATCGCACTTTCAGTGCACTCAAATGCTACTCATGTGGTTTAGTTACAGATGGAATACGAATGATAGCGAATTCTTCAGATACAGACTATCAGGATAAACAGACAAATTTCAAGCTTAATGTCAAAACTGAGGGGAAATTCGCCACTTCACAACCAGCTAGGGGAAGTCAAATGGTATAGTGTAGGGTAATAGATTTCTATGTATAAACCGATGTCATTTGCTGGAGTCTAGTAAACTGATCCCGTACTTCTATTCTATCCTTTTTGGATTATGATTTAACGACTTCGTATGGAACGTAAGAACCACAACCTATTAACGTAACAAAATTTGGGGCATTAAAATGGAAACTAATTAAAAACCAAGTATAACTTTTCTACTAACTACAATTTACATGTCCATTTTTCGACTGCACTCTGGAGGTTAGTAGTATTACGTCGCCACTCAAACATAACTAGGTTTAGCGTGGTTCGAATCTGTAACCCAACGGTTGAAAGTTGCATGGTTTAATTACTAGTTTATCACGATACATGAGATTCTCACATGCTTACACATATTGGTGATGAAAATAAATCCAGAAACGTTATTTAGCAAATGAGGGTTGATACTTGCACAATTATTTTCCTCGTACTCAGGTACATTTTAGAGTTCAAGTGTAAACTTGATTGATATGCCTCTAGCATTGTACATCAAGCAAGTTTAAATGAAACAAATAATCAAGAAGTACCAAGTGTACAGCTTACATGTATGTACCTAGAAATGAAACAAATTCTATTCCTCTAAATCTTTTCTGTCTAACCGATGATGTCGAAATTCAATGTGGACGTTACACTCATTGTTATAACGTGCCAAATCTGGGAACGTTTTGTAGGACCAAAGGATTATATCCATTAATA